AGGGTCCCTGCTGAGAAGGGAGCCCAATGCGGGGCTTGATTCCAGGACCCTGGGATCATGACCTGAGCCAAAGGCAGACACTTAACCAACTGAGCCACCCAGGTGCCTCAATTTTTTATTTACATTCTAGTTAGTTAACATATAGTGAAATGTTGGTTTCAAGAGTAGAATTTAGTGATTCATCCCTTACATATAATACTCAGTAAAGCTGTATATATTTAATGTATGCACCTTGATGAGTTTGAAAATAAGGGCACCGTTAAACCATCACCATATACAATGCCCTAAACTTAACCATCACCTCTAGAAATTTCCTCTGTCCTTTTTCTCTTTTGATAATAACATTCAACATAAGATCTAGCATCTTAATAAATTTTAAATATCTAATACAGTATTGAGAACTGTATGCACTATGCTGTACAGTAGATGTATAGGACTTACTCATCTTGCATAAGTGAAACTGTATACACTTTGATGAACATCTCCCCAGTTACCCTTCCTCCAGCCTCCTGGTAAACATGATTCTACTCTGCTTTTATGAGTTTGACTGTGTTAGATGCCTGATAAAAATTCCCATTTGGTATTCTACAAATTCTCATGTGGTATTTGTTCTTCTGTGTTTGGTTTATTTCACTAAGCATAGTGTCTTCCAAGTTTTTGTTGTAGCAAATGGCAAGATTTTCTTCTTTTTTTTTTTTTTTTTTTTTTTTTAAGATTTTATTTATTTATTTGAGAGAGAGAGACTGAGAGAGAGAGAGCATGAGATGGGGGAGGGTTGGGAGGGTCAGAGGGAGAAGCAGACTCCCTGCCGAGCAGGGAGCCCGATGCGGGACTCGATCCAGGGACTCCAGGATCATGACCTGAGCCGAAGGCAGTCGCTTAACCAACTGAGCCACCCAGGCGCCCCGATTTTCTTCTTTTTTAAGGCCAAATAATATTCCATTGTATTTATACACATTTTCTTTATCCATTCATCTGTCAGTGGACATTTAGGTTGTTTCCATGTCTTTGCTATTGTAAATAATGCTGCAATGAACAAGGGAATACACATATTTCTTCCAGATCCCAATTCCAGTTCTTCTGGATATATACCCAGAAGTGGGATTGCTGGATTGTATTTTAGCTCTATTTTTAATTTTTTGAGGAACCTCCATACTGTGTTCCATAGTGGGTGCACCCATTTACATTCGCACTAACAGCATACAAGGTTCAGAATTTCTCCGTATCCTCACCAACACTTGTTTTTTTTTTAAAGATTTTATTTATTTATTTGAGACAGACAGAATGAGAGGCAGAGAGCATGAGAGGGAGGAGGGTCAGAGGGAGAAGCAGACTCCCTGCCGAGCAGGGAGCCCGATGCGGGACTCGATCCCGGGACTCCAGGATCATGACCTGAGCCGAAGGCAGTCACTTAACCAACTGAGCCACCCAGGCGCCCTCACCAACACTTACTTTTGTTGTTGTTGTTGTTAATAGCCATCCTAACAGGTGTGAAGTGATATTTTATTGAGGTTTTGATTTGCATTTTCCTGATGATTAGTGATACTGAGCATCTTTTTATATACCTGTTGACCATTTGTATGTCTTTTTTGTAGAAATGACTATTCAGGTCTTTTACGCATTTTTAAAATTGGGTTATTTGAAGGTTTTTTTTTTTTTATTACTGCACTTTAGGAGCCCCTTATATATTTTAGATATTAATCCTTTATCAGATATATGATCTGCAAATATTTTTTCCTAATCTGTGTATTGCCTTTTCACTTTGCTGATTTTTTTTTTTTTGCTCCTAATTTTTGTATGTGTCCTACAACTTGACTGAATTTATTAGTTTTACCTGTGTTAAAACAATTAATTGTGGAGTCTTTAGGGTTTTCTACACATAGGATCTTGTCATATACAAACAGATAATTTTACTTCTTCCTTTCCCATTTGGGTACCTTTTACTTCTTTATTCTTGTCTAATTTCTCTGGCCAGGAGAACTAGGTTGAATAGAAGTGACAAGAGTGGGCATCCTGGCCTTGTTACTGATCTTAGGGGGAAAGCTTTCCAGTTTTTCACTGTTGAGCATGACATTAGCTGTGGGCCTTTCATATTTGGCCTATATTATGTTGAAATAAATTCCTTCTATTCCTAGTTTCTTAAGCATTTTTATCATGAAAGGGTGTTGGATTTTGTCAAGTGCTTTGTCTGCATCTATTAAGATGACCATGTGATTTTTATCTTTTATTCTGTTAATGTGGTATATCACATTGATTTTTGTATGTGGAACCATCCTTGCATCTCAGAGATAATTCAGTTGATCATGGTATATGATCCTTTTAATGTGCTTCTATATTCATTTTACTACTTTTCTGTTGAGAATTTTTGCATCTATATTCATCAGGGATATTGCCCTGTAGTTTTCTTATAATGTCATTTTTTTTCTTTTGGTATCAGGGTAATCTGGCCTCCTAAAATTAGTTTGGGAATGTTCCCTCCTCTTCAGTTTTTTGGAAGAGTTTGAGAAGGATTGGCAGTAATTCTTTAAATGTTTGGTAGAATTCACCCATGAACCCATCTGGTCCTGGGCTTTTCTTTGCTGGGAGGTGTCTGATTACTAATTCAATCTCATTACTAGTTCTAAATCTCCTTAGGTTTTCTATTTCTTCATGATTTAGTCTTGGTAGGTTGTATGTTTCTAAGAATTTATCCTTCTCTTCTAGGTTTTCTAATTTTTTGGCATATAGTTGTTCATAGTAGTCTCTTGTAATCCTTTTTATTTCTGTGGCATTAGTTGTAACAGCTCCTCATTTATTTCTGATTTTATTTGAGACTTCTCTCTTTTTTCTCAGTTGAGCTAAAGGTAGTCAGTTTTGTTGATCTTTTTTTTTAAAAAAAATCGCTCTTAGTTTTTTTTCCCTAATCTCTTTTGTTTATTTCTGTTTGAATCTTTATTTCTTTCCTTCTACTAACTTTGGGCTTAGTTTTATCCTTTGTCTAGTTCCTTAAGTTGTAGAGCTGTTTATTTGAGATCTTTTTCTCTTCTCTTCTCTTCTCTTTTATTTTTTGAGTAGTCTCCAATGCCCAAGGTGGGGCTTGAACTCAAGACCCTGAGATCAAGAGTTGCATGCTTGACCGACTGAGCTAGCCAGGTACCCCTGAGATCTTCTTTTTTAATGTATGCATTTATGACTATAAAATTTCCTCTTAGTACTATTCTTGATGCATCTCATAAATGTTGTTATGTTGTCGTTTCATTTTCATTTGTCTTAAGATATTTTCTAATTTCCCTTCTTATTTCTTCTTTGACCCATTGGTTGTTCAAGAGTATGATGTTTAATTTCCACATATTTGTGAATTTTCTAGTTTTCCTTCTGCTATTGGAAGTGAGGTATTGAAAGGTCCTAGTATTACTGTGTTGCTATCTGTTTCTCCTTTCAGTTCTCTCAATGTTTGCTTCATATATTTAGGTGCTCTGATGTTGGGTGCATATATATTTATAGTTGTTATATCTTCTTGGTGAATTGACCCTTTTGTCATTATATAATGTCCATTTTTGTCTCTTGTGACAGTTTTTACTTAAAGTCTATTTTGTCTGATAAAAGCATGGCCACCCCTGCTTTCTTTTGGTTATCATTTGCATGGAATATCTTTCTCTGTCCTTTCATTTTCAGCTTATATGTGGCCTTAAAATATAAAGTGAGTTTCTTGTAGACAGTTATAGTTGGAACTTGTTTTTTTTTATTCATTCAGCCACTCTGTCTTTGGTTAGAGAGTTTAACATACTACTTACTCGTAGAGTAATTATTGATAGGGAAGGACTTACTATTGCCATTTATTATTTCTTTTCTGTCTTGTAGCTCATTTGTCCCTCTTTTCCTCTCTTGAAGTTTTCCTTTGTGTTTCATTGATTTTTTTCTAGTGATGTGCTTTTTTCCTTTCTTATTTTTTGTTTATCTTATATAGGTATTTTCTTTAGGGTTACAATGGGGCTTCCTTAAAACATAGTTATAAAAATCTATTTTAAGCTGGTAAGAACTTAAATTTAATTGCATTTGAGGGCTCTTTGTTGTTTTCTTGAATGTTCTTTTTTTTATAGCATCCCATTCTTAATAGAATATTGTCTCATTCCTCAGAGTATTAGTGATGATTTTTTGAAGTTTTCTTCACCCTGCATGGTCTGTTTTTTGTTTTTGTTTTTTTCCATTTGCTTTCATTTCTGTTTGTTCTGTTCTTTCTTTGACATTAGAGGCTTTCCTCAGATGCCTGGTAATCTGTGCCCATACTTATGAGTAGGGGCCAAAAAGCAGACAAGTGGCCCTTGTTGACTTTTAGCTTCATTTTAAAGTCATCTGGTTGGTCCATTTGTTGGAGAAATTCCCAATGCCAAACCAGTATTTTTTTTTATCTTTTCTCTAGGGGCTAATCATATTTAGTGTGCATTATTTCTCTTAATCTCCTTGTGTTCAGATATAGTATTTACACCCTCATCTGTGTCTGGCATTTCCCATATTCAGAAAATGAATTACCACTATTCACCGGGATTGGGATTGGCCTTTACCTGGTAGCTAATTTTAGGGGAAGATATTTAAGATCTAGTTGGTTTTTAAACAACTTTCAACCTACCCACCTTATCTTAACCTTATCCCTTTACATTCATTCTCAGAGGTACCTGAAGCTATCAGTTCCTAAACTGTTTGAGGATTCTTAGGTGTATACTGGGTTGGTTCCTGGCTTTCCCCACTGCAGGTTTAAGATTCACCTTTCTCGAGTACACTTACCTAATTATTTTCCAGCTTCCGGAATATTGCTGCTATTGCCTCCTTTCCTTGTTCTTTCTTATCTTGTGGGTTTGTGGGTTTTTTTAAGTCCCTATAGTTTTAGAGAGCTTTCGGGAGGGAGTGAAATTAGATGCATGTATTCAGTCTGCCATCTTTATATGAAACTAATTCTAACCAAAGTGAAATAGTTGCCTTACCTTCCTCATGTGATATTTCTGTTGATCCTCGGTTTATATTAGGTGTTATACCTGAAGAACCTTAGCCCTCGGGTGACCGAAAGAGATCTTGTCTCATTGTTCGCTCGGTTCCAGGAGAAAAAAGGACCACCAATTCAATTCCGAATGATGACTGGACGAATGAGGGGGCAGGCTTTTATCACCTTTCCCAGTAAGTAGCTTCTTCTGGATAATCAATTGTAGCATCAGTTCATTGGAGATTATTTATACCCTCTCGAATTTAAATCGAGCCCTTTGATTTCTCCATAGTACATAAGAAGCATGTGCTTGAACAAGCGCATGGGAAGAAGGAAAGAGAAGTAAGGAAACTATGTTTTCAGTATTTCTCTATCCTCCCTTCTGTGCTTCCTCTCCTCCATTGACAATACTTGACTGACCGCCTTATCCCATTGTCCTCAGTTTTCCCCAATCTTGGCACTCCCTTCTCTCTATCAAAATGTACCTTTTCCCTTTGCTGATGACAGTATTTCAAGTTATAATTATATTACTTATTAATATATTGGTATTCTGGTCAGAATACTTGTACTTGCCTTATGCCCTATTCCTTTGGGACTAAGAGATTATAAGTTAACATGCTAATTCACTAGTAATTCATAATTAGTGAATGATGTTAAATTCTTTTAACAGTTGTTTCTATCTTAATACATGACTTCAGTATCCTAATTAAAAGAGAACAATGATATAGGAATTTCATTTTCTATAACAGACCAGACTATCTTTTGGTGGTAGCTGGGTAAGAGCTACACCTTTCATTATCCCTAAACTATCATTACTTATAAATAGCCTAGTAGTCTATGTTTAGACAAGTACTTTTACATGTAAGCAGTACCAAAACTCCCCTCCACTTTTTTCATACATTTTTATGCCATCTTTCCTATCATGTTGAAGGTTTGTGGATCCTCTATACTAGTGGTTTTTATATAATAAAAAGATTTTATAAACAAAGTACTTTAAAGTGAACAGCTGTTTTACTAATAACAGTAGTATACAATTTGAAAATCTGTAGTATATACATATGTGAGACATAAATTGGTTTAGTCTAAAGACAGTGCTTGTCTACCTATGATTTCACAGACTCTGCGTAATAATTCCACTTCCAAATTTCCCACATCCAGGCTCTGAGGCCCATAAATGGAAAACTCCTGCTATACACTGTATACTCCCATACCTCAAGCATCCATATGCCTACAGGAATTCTCAAACTTATTTATCTCAATGAGGGCTCCCACTCTCCCATCAAAAGAAAAAAGTAACAAAGTGTCCTCAGTACCATGATAACATCTTTTATTCATGTCATCCAATTTGAAAATTATTTCATTATCACAATACCTGTAATCTGTTATCTAAGATAGAGGTTCATATATTATTAGTTATAGCTTAGCTTTCTTTGGCACACTATCTATATTCTTATTTCTTTAACCTTATCTTTGAATTAGGAGACACTCTAAACATCCATTTTAAGTTTTTATTGTCATTATTCTTAGCCATTAGTTTAATCTTGCTGAGTTGTACGAATTTGAGATTATGGAAAAGGTAATAAAATTAAATAACTATATAGCCTTATAGCCTATATTTAACTCCAAGGCAAAACAACATAAACTAGACTTGGAATAGAATTGAATTATTAAGCCCAATGTAAGTTGATGTTTTTTTCTTTCTCTTTTAGATAAGGAGATAGCAAGGCAAGCATTATATCTAGTAAATGGATATAAACTACGTGGGAAAATACTGGTGATAGAATTTGGAAAGAACAAAAAGCAACGGTCAGACCTCCAGGCCGCTTCTCTCATATCATCTGCTCCAGATAACACAGCAGAAATCAGTGGTAGCTAAAAGATATATAGATGGTGAGTCCCAGGAGGTCTTCCCTGCATCAGAATCTTGGATCTAGAATTTGTGTATAGATAGCAATTTGTTTGGATTTGAAGAAGAGAAACTAACTGAGGGAGAGAAAAACTAAGATAATCCCTCTCAGTTTCAGAATGAATTGGTAGAAAACATATTTTATAATCAAAGACAATATAGGACAGATATCTGCCAAGTATGAAGCATAGGGTACAAAGAGTATCATTTTCTCAGGATAAATTACAAATGATTATTTCTAAGGATTTTTTAAGATCTTTATAATTTATCTGGGGTCTTCAATATTTGTCTGTAAAGATAACATTCTTTCCAAGATTGCCTCCTATATGCAGAACTAAAACACTAATTAAATGTTGAAATACTTATTTACTAGAGCTCATTTATCCCTAATTATATCCACCTAGTAAATAAATGACCACCCCAGGCCTAAACATCAACAAATGCTGTTGAATGAGAACTATCAGCAGTGACAATATGTATTTTCATAAGTCAGTCCACATATTTAATGAATGCTTCCCCATAAAGTTATCAGTGTCTTCAAAAAGCTATATATTTTTCTAATGAAAGCATTTAGGTCAAAATACTGATGTTCTCATAGTCATTTAAGCTAGCTACCATTGAGTAATCATTGAATTCAAAGCAATAAACATTGAATGACTATCTAATATATATTATATATTAGGTATATGAATTTTAGAAGAGGAACATATTAGCAAACAATACTAAAGGAGGGTGGGGAGAAAGCATTCTCTAGAAGAGAGCCACCCATTCCCAAATCCCCCGGTTTGTTTGTAGTTGATTGAGAATAGAAAGAAAATACATGGATGAAGTAGTACAAACTTTGGAATCAGACCTGTGTTTGAACTTAACAGCCACACTTATCACTTCGTGACCTTGGCAAGTCACTTAATCTGAGCCTCAGTTTTCTCATCTATAAAATGAGGATAATAATCCTACTTACCTCATTGGGTTGTAAGTATTAAATGAGCTGATATTATTTTGGCTGAAGAACAGGAAGGAAAAAAATGAAGAAGGTTGAACAGAGAGTAGGACCATTAAACACTCCAACATGCTTGTAATGAGAGGACCAGAAAAAGAGAAGAGAAAGAAAGAAGCAGAAAAAATATTCCAATAAATAATGGATGTCAATGTCCCACATCCAAGAATTTCAACAAATGCCAAGTAGGATAAAGAAGAAATCCACAGACACATCATAATAAAAGTGCTAAAACTCAAAGACAGAGAAACTTGAAAGTAACAGGAGAAAAATGAAGCATCATTTACAAGAGAACCCCAATCAGATTAACAGCTGACTTCTCATCAGAAACAATGGAGGTGGCAGTGGAATAACATATTCAAAGTGCTCAAAGAAAACAACTGTCAGTATAGAATCCTATATCCAATAAAGCTGTGTTTTAAAAAATGAAGATAAAATGTAAGTCTTCCCACATAATCATAAACTGTTGTTGCTGGCAGACCTGACTTACAGGAAACATTAAAGGAAGTTCTTCAGGCAGAAAGCAGTGACCTCAGATAATAATTTAAATCTACATATATAGGAAAGTAGCACAGGTAAAAGTAATTGCATAATAAGAAGAGACAGTCTAAATGCATTTTTCTTCTCTTAATTGATTTAAAAAGTAATTTTATAAAGCAATATGTACATAGTTGCATTGTTGGGTTTATAACATATAAAAATGCAGTATATTTGCCAATAATAGGACATAGGAGGTGGGTGGAGGCAAAGCTGTATTGGACTATAGAAATGACTCCAGATGGTAACTCAAATCTACAGGAACAAGTGAAGAAAACAAGAAGTGGGAAATAAGACAGTTAATATAAAAAAGCATCAGATATTTATTTGCTCTTCTTTCTTCTCTGAGCTTCTTTAAAACACATAAAATTATACCAAGTAATAATTATAACAGTGTATTGTTGGGTTAATAATGTGTAGACATAATATGTGTAACAATAATAGTACAAAAAAGTGGGGGAAGAAATAAGTTTATATGGGAATAAGTTGTTTATATAATTGGAATTAAGTTTGTATTTATCTGAAGCCAATTCAGTTAAGATTTGTATGGTAAACCCTAGAGCAACCACTACGAAACTAACTTAAAATATATAGTGAAAATATTATTAAAAGAAATTTAAATTTCATTAGAAATTTAATTTCATTAAAATTTCATTAGAAAATATTCAGTACAAAAGGATGAATAGAGAAACAAAGACAAACTCCAGAGATATATAGGAAACAAACAGTAAAATGGCAGTCTTAAGTCCACCTATATTAATAATAACAATAAATATGAATGGATTAAACCAATCAAAGACAGAGAGTGTCAGACTGGGAAAAACAAGCAAGATTCACCTCTATGCTATTTGTTGGAGTCACACTTTATTTTTAAAGACACAAACAGATTGAAGGTAAAAGGATAGAAAAACATAGCAGTCAAATGGCAACTGTAAGAAAGCTGGAGTGGCTATACTAATATCAGATAATAGACTTTAAAACAAAAAATGTCATTAGACATAAAGAGTGACATCTTATAATGATAAGAGAATCAACCCATCAGAAAGATAGAGCAAAATTATATATGCATCTAACAGCAGAGCACCAAAATACATGAATCAAAAACTGAATTAAATGAAGGGAAAAACCCACAAGTCTACAATAAGAGTTGGGGTATTCAGTATCCCATTTTCATTAATAGAACAATGAGATAATAAACAAGGAAATAGAAGACTTGAACAGTGCCATAATGAACTAGACCTTAAAGTGATCTATAAAACACTTTACCCAGCACGAATGGAATGCATATTCTTCTTAAGGGCACATGAAATAGTTCCAGAATAGATCATATCATAGACCATAAAACAAACCTCAGTAAATTTAAGTGGACTGAAATCATGCAAGGTATGTTTTCTGACTCCTTGGAATAGAGTTAGAAATCAATAACAGAAAGTTGAAGGACTCATAAACATGAATTAGACACACTTTTAAATGACTGATGGGTCAAATAAAAAATCACAAGGGAAATTAGGAAGTCCTTTGAGATGAATGAAAATGAAGACATGACATACCAAAATGTGGGATGCACCAAAAGCAATGCTTGGAGAAAAATTTATAAATACTAATGCTTATATTTAACAAGAAGAAAGATCACATATAAATAACCTCATTTTATGCCTAAGACACTGGGAAAAGAGGAGCAAACTAAACTTAGAGTAAGCAGAAGGAAGAAAATAAAAAAGATTAGATAAATAAATGACAGGGAATACAAAAAGAGTAGAGAATGTCAATGAAACTAATAGTTGGTTCTATAAAAAAAGATCAACAAAAGTGACAAACCTTTTGTTAGATTGACCAGGGAAAAAAGAAGACTCAAATTACTAGAATCAGAAGTGAAGGAGGCAACATTACTACCAACCTTCTAGAAATAAAAAGTGTTATGAAGGAGCCCATGAACAATTATATAACAATAAATTAGATAACTTAGATGAAATGGAAAATTTCCTAGAAACTGACAAACTACTGGAACCAATGGAAAACAAAATCTGAAAATGTCTATAACAAGTAAAGAGGTTAATTAATAACTCTTAAAAATACCCACAAGAAAAAGCCTAGCCTCGAATGGCTTCTCAGATAAATTCTAGCAAACATTAAAGAAGAATTAATACAAATTCTTTACATACTCTTCCAAAAAGTAGAAGGAACACTTCTAATATATGCTACAAACATGAAAGAACCCTGAAAACATGCTAAATGAAAGAAGCCAGTAACAAAAGACTATATAATTATGTAATTCCATTTATATGAAGTGTCTAGAATTGGTAAATATATAGAGACAGTGGATTAGTGGTTGCTCAGGGCTGGGGGTGATAGCTGAATTGTATGAGGTTTCTTTAGAGGTTGATTAAAATGTTCTAAAATTGACTGTGGTGAAAATTGTACAACTCTATGAATATACTATGAATAATGAATTGTATACCTTAAATAGGTGAATTGTATTTTTATGAATTATATCTCAGAGTCACCAAAAAAAGAAATTGGATACAACCCAACTGTCCATCAATAGGAAAATGAATAATAAATCATGACACATTCATTTAGTGAAATACTATACATCCATTAAAATAATGGTGTATTATCTGTGAATACATTCTGATCTGTATGATGTACAGAATTTTGTATTTAAAAAGCAAGAAATGGTATAATGTGAATGCATTTTGTAAACAAAAGCATTTGTATATGTATGATACATGTGTATATAGGTATTTCTGAATAAATTTAGGAAAAAGCTGGGAAATATATATACCAAATTGTAAACCTTTTAGAAGTAGGATTAGATAGTCTGAAAGGGGACTTTTGCTTTATAAAATTTTTAAAGTGGTGTGATTTGGGGCAATTTTTACTTTTTTCAGTTTTTTTTAATTAAAAAAATTTTTTTTAATACTCTACAAATGATTTGGCTTCCAGAATATTTGTCAGGCCTGCTCTGAGGATATCATCTAACTGTACTCAGGACAAACTCCCATTCCTTTGATATAGTGCTCACTTAGGATTAACTCTTCAATTTTAAATATAGTGTGAGGGGAGGAAGTAAGTTATCCTGGTATAACCTCTTGTACATGTTACCCAGGGACATACTTCTAAGCTGGACTTTTCAGAAGAAACTTAGTCCTGTTGAGTGGAAAATCTCACTTCTGCCCTTTGCTAGACCTGCAGATCACTAACAACAGAGGAAAATAAAAATGGAGGATGTCCTTCAACTGGTGCATAAACAAACTGTAGTATGTCCATACAATAGAATCCTACTCAGCAATAAAAACTATGATGAACTGTGATACATGCAACAACTTGGATGAATCTCAAATGCATTTTGCTAAGTAAAAGAAGCCAAACTCAAAAGGCTACTTACAGTTTGATTCCATTTATATGATATTCTGGAAAAGGCAAAACTATAGGAACAGAGAACAAATCAGTGCATGTCAGGGGTTAAAAATGGCAGACTGATTACAAAATGGTAGCACAAGGAATTTGTTTTAATAATGGAAAGTTTCTGTGTCTTGATTATAGTTACTTGAGTGTATGCATTTGTCAAAACTAGAATTATATGCCAGAAAGGATGAATTTTACTATATGTGAATTTTTAAATAAATGTAATTTTTAATGGAGAGAAGTCATAAAGTATTGTTCCTATTCTGTGGTCTTTTAATTACATGGAAGACTTAAAGCCACTTAGCTACTATTCCTTATTTTCTGCACACAGGTCAGCAGAAATCATCAGTTAAAAACATCTACATATACGTACACACACACCCCCACCATAAAAAAGTCGAAAGACAAACTAGAAAATAATTTGCCATGCACAAGGAGCTAATTTCCTTAATATACAATATATATAATTTTCTTAATATACAAAAGTCAATAATGCAAGAAAAATATGGGTAAAAAAGAAAATTTATAGAAACAAATATAAATGGCTAATAAACTAAGATAAATATTCAGAGTAGTAATAAAAATTAGGACAATGAGCTCTCTTTTTAAAAAAAATTTAGATTTTTAGGAAAGTTACAAAAATAGCAAGAGTTACCATATATCCTTCACCCAGCCTCTTTTAATATTAACACCTTATATAACCATAGTTATAATTATCAAAAACAGGAAAATAATACTACTACAGTACTATTAATTAACTCACAGACCTTATTTGATTTTTTCCACTTGTGCCACTAATGTCTTTTTATGATCCAGGTGCAAATCCAGTATCCCACATTGCATTTATTATTTATTGTAGTTATTTTGTAGAATGTCCCTAATTAGGGTTTGTTTCATGATTTCCTATGATTAGACTGAGATTATATGTTTTTGTTAAGAATACCAGAGAAGTGATGTGCCCCCCCCTTTTTTATAGTTTCAGAGGTAGAATTTAGTGTTCATCAGTTGCATTAACACGCAGTGCTCATTACATCAACTGCCCTCCTTAATGCCCATCACTCAATTACCTCATCCCCCAACCCACCTCCCCCCTCCAGCAAACCTCAGTTTGTTTCCTAGAGTTCAGCATCTCTTATGGTTTGCCTCCCTCTCAATTTTCATCTTATTTTTCCTTCCCTTCCCCTATGTTCATCTGTTTTGTTTCTTAAATTCCACATATGAGTGAAATCATATGGTATTTGTCTTCCTCGGACTAATTTCACTTAGCATAGTACCCTCTAGTTCCATCCATGTCGTTGCAAATGGCAAGATTTCATTCTTTTTGATGAGTAATATTCCATTGTATACCAGTTCTTTATCCATCCATCTGTCGATGGACATCTGGGCTCTTTCCAAATTTTGGCTATTGTGGACATTGCTGCTATAAACATTTGCATGCATGTGCCCCTTTAAGTCACTATGTATCCTTTGGATAAATACCTAGTAGTTCAGTTGCTGGGTTGTAGAGTAACTCTTATTTTTAACTTTTTGGGGAAACTCCATACTGTTTTCAAGAGTAGCTGCACCAGTTTGTATGCCCACCAACAGTGTAAGAGAGGGTTCCCCATTCTCTGCATCTTCACCAACATCTGTTGTTTCCTGAGTTGTTAATTTTAGCCATTTTGACAGGTGTGAAGTGGTATCTCATTGTGGTTTTGATTTGTATTTCTCTGATGCCTAGTGATGAGCAGTTTTTCATGTGTCTGTTGGCCAGTTTTATGTCTTCTTTGGAGAAATGTCTGGTCATGTCTACTGCCCATTTCTTGACTGGATTATTTGTTCTTTGGGTATTGAGTTTGATAAGGTCTTTATAGATTGTGGATACTAGCCCTTTATCTTATAAGACGTTTGCAAATATCTTCTCCCATTCCGTAGGTTGCCTGTTAGTTTGTTGACTGTTTCCTTTGCTGTGCAAAAGCTGTTTATCTTGGTGAAGCCCCAATAGTTCATTTTTGCTTTTGTTTCCTTTGCCTTTGGAGATGTGCCTAGCAAGAACTTACTGCAGCTGAGGTAAAAAATAAAATGTTGCTGCCTGTGTTCTCCTCTAGGATTTTGATGGATTCATATTTAGGTCTTTCACCCATTTTGGGTTTATTTTTGTGTATGGGTTAAGGAAGTGGTCCAGTTTCATTCTTCTACATGTGGCTATCCAATTTTCCCAACACCGTTTGTTGAAGAGACTGTCTTTTTTCCATTGGATATTCTTTCCTGCTTTGTTGAAGATTAGTTGACCATAGAGTTGAGGGTCCATCTCTGAGTTCTCTATTCTGTTCCATTGATGTATTTGTTTTTGTGCCAGTGCCATATTGTCTTGAAGATTACAGCTTTGTAATACAGCTTGAAGTCCAGAATTGTGATGCCTCCCCAGCTTTGCTTTCCTTTTACAACATTCCTTTGGCTATTCAGGGACTTTTCTGGTTCCATACAAATTTTAGCATTGTTTATTGCAGCTCTGTGAAAAATGTTGATGGAATTTTGATAGGGATTACATTGAATATGTAGATTGCTTTGGGTAGCATACACCTTTTAACAATATTTTTTCTTCCAATCCATGAGCATGGAATGTTTTTCCATTTCTTTGTCTTCCTCAATTTCATTCATAATTGTTCTATAGTTTTCAAAGTACAAATCTTTTACCTCTTTGATTAGGTTTATTCCTAGGTATCTTAGGGTTTTGGTGCAATTGTAAATGGAATAGATTCCTCGATTTCTCTTTCTTCTGCCTCATTGTTAGTGTATTGAAATGCAACCGACTTCTATGCATTGATTTTATATCCTGCAATGGCTGAATTCCTGTATCAGTTCTAGCGATTTTTTGCTGGAGTCCTTTGGATTTTCTACATAGAGTATCATGTCATCTTTGAAGAGTGAAGGTTTGACTTCTTATGCTGATTTGTATGCCTTTTATTTCTTTTTGTTGTTTGATTGCTGAAGCTAGTAATTCCAGTACTGCGTTGAGCAACAGTGGTGAGGGTGGACATCCCTGTCGTGTTCCTGACCTTAATCCCACTTGGTCATGGTGAATAATACTTTTAATGTACTGTTGGATCCTATTGGCTAGTATTTTGATGAGAATTTTTGCATCCATGTTCATCAGGGATAATGGCCTATAATTCTCCTTTATAGTGGGGTCTTTGTCTGGTTTTCGAATCAAGATAATGCTGGCCTCATAGAAGGAGTTTAGAAGTTTTCTTTCCATTTCTATTTTTTGGAACAACTTGAGAAGAATAGGTATTAACTCTTCTTTAAATGTTTGGTAGAATTCCCCTGGGAAGCCATCTGGCCCTGGACTTTTGTTTGTTGGGAGATTTTGGATTACTGATTTAATTGCTTTGCTGGTTATGGGTCTGTTCAAATTTTCTATTTCTTCCTGTTTCAGCTTTGGTAATTTGTATGTTTCTAGGAATTTGTCCATCTTTTCCAGAATGCCCAGTTTGTTGGCATATAATTGCTCAGAATATTCTCTTATAATTGTGTTTCTGTGGTGTTGGTTGTGATCTCTCCTCTTTCATTCGTGACTTTATTTATTTGGTTCCTTTCTCTTTTCGTTATAATAAGTCTGGCTTGGGGTTTATCAATTTTGTTAATTCTTTCAAAGAACTAGCTCCTAGTTTCATTGGTCTCTTCTACTGGTTTTTTTTTTTTTATTTCTATATCATTGATTTCTGCTCTATTCTTTATTATTTCTCTTCTCCTGCTGGATTTAGGCTTTATTTGCTGTTCTTTTCCCAGCTCCTTTAGGTGTAAGTTTAGGCTGCATATTTGAGACTTTTCTTGCTTCTTGAGAAAGGCCTGTATTGCTATATACTTCTCTCTTAGGACCACTTTGCTGTATCCCAAAGGTTCTGAACTGTCGTGTTTTCATTTTCACTTTTTTTCCATGTAGTTTTTCAAATTCTTTTATTTCCTGCTTGACCCAATCATTCTTTAATAGAATGCTTTTTAACCTCCATGTATTTGTGTTCCTTCCAAATTTTTCTTGTGTTTGACATCAAGTTTTCAAGCATTGTGGTCTGAAAATATGCATGGTATAATCTTAATTTTTTATACTAGTTGAGACCTGATTTGTGACCTAGGATGTGATCTATTCTGGAGAATGTTCCATGTGCACTCAAGAAGAATGTGTATTCTGCTGCTTTAGGATGAAATGCTCTGAATATATCTGTGAAGTCTATCTGGTCCAATGTGTTATTCAAAGCCATCCTTTCCTTGTTGATCTTCTGCTTAGATGATTTGCTGTGAGTGGGGTGTTAAAATCCCCTACTATTATTGTAGTATTATCAATGAGTTTCTTTAATTTTGTTATTAATTCCTTTATATATTTGGCTGCTCCCAAGTTGGGGCATAAGTATTTACAATTGTTAGACCTTCTCGTTGGATAGAGCCCTTTATTATGATATAGTGTTCTTCTTCATCTCTTATTACAGTCTTTGTTTTAAAATCTAGTTTGTCTGATGTTGGTACGGCTACTCCAGCTTTCTTTTGATTTCCATTAGCATGATAGATGGTTCTCCACTGCTCACTTTCAATCTGGAGGTGTCTTTGTGTCAAAAAAGAGTCTTTTTAAAGCAGCATATGGATGGGTCTTGTTTTTTATCCATTCTGATACCCTATGTCTTTTTATTGGAGCATTTAGTCCATTTACATTCAGAATAATTATTTAAGGATAGGAATTTAGTGCCTTTGTATTACCTGTAGAGTCACTGTTTCTATAGATTGTTCCTTTCTGGTCTTTGTTATTTTTGGGCTCTCTCTTTGCTCAAAGGATCCCCTTTAATATTTCTTGCAGGGCTGATTTAGTGTTCACAAATTCCTTTAGTTTTTGTCCTAGATATTATCTCTCCTTCTATTCTGAATGACAGCCTTGCTGGATAAAGTATTCTTGGCTGCATATTTTTCCCATTTAGCATGTTGAATATATCATGCCAGTCCTTTCTGGGTGCCAGGTCTCTATGGACAGGTCTGCTGCAAGACTCATTTTTCTACCCTTGTAACAGGTTAAGGATCTCTTGTCCCAAGCTGCTTTCAAGATTCTTTCTTTATCTTTGAAATTTGCAAGCTTCACTATTATATGTCGAGGTGTTGACCTATTTTTATTGATTTTGAGGGGGGCTCTCTGTACCTCCTGGACTAGAATGCCTGTTTTCTTCCCCAGATTAGGGAAATTCTCAGCCATAATTTGTTCAAATAAACCTTCTGCCCCTTTCTCCCTCTCTTCATCTTCCGGGACCCTTATTATCCAGATATTGCTTTGCTTTATAGAATCACTGAGCTCTCTAAGTCTCCCTTCATGATCCAGTAGTTGTCTTTCTCTCCTCTTTTCAGCTTCCTTATTCTCCATTATTTTATCTTCTATATCACTGACTCTCTCTTCTGCCTTGTTTATCCTTGCTTTTAGAGCCTCCATTTGGGACTGCATCTCAGTAATAGCATTTTAAATTTCAGCCTGACTAGATTATAGTTCTTTTATTTCTGCAGTAGGGATTCTCTAGAGTCTTCTATGCTTTTTTTTCAAGCCCTGCTAGTATCTTTATAATCGTTGTTTTAAATTCTAGTTCAGACATCCTACTTATATCCATATTGATTAAATCTCTGGCAGTGAGTACTACCTTCTGTTCTTTCTTTTGGGGTAAATTTCTCCATCTCATAAGTTTGTCCAGAAAAGAATAGAAGAAAGAAAGAGAAAAGACAATAATAACAACAACAGAAAAACAAAACAAAACAAAATAAGAAAAAAGCAGACAAGAAACAAAACAGGACAAAAAAAAACAAACCTAGATCCTGGGTGTGTTTTGGCCTGCTTGTTAAAGAAACTGGATCCCCAAATAGGAAAGAAAGAACAACTTATATATACTCAAAAATATACATAAGAAAAATACAATGAAATAAGATAAAATACAATGAAAGGAAATAAAATATATATGATATATATAAACAAAAATTAAAAATGAATTTAGAAAGAATTGAAAAAATAAGAAAATTGCCGAGAAAATAATACCGAGAGACTAAAGAATAAAGAAAACCACAAATGCTATATACTGTTTTCCCCAAGAGCTGAAGCTTTGGTTCTCTATGATCAGTAGACTTGGTGCTAGCCAGTTGTTCCTACTGGTCTTCTAGGGGAGGCACCTGATCCGCTGATTCTCAGGTGCCTTTCTTTGCTCTTGCTAGTGGGCTGGGCTAAGTGTAAGCAGCTCTGGATTCCACTATGTGGCACTGTTTTGCTCCCTGAAGACTTTCAGCACTGTTGTGGGGGATGGGATGAAAATGGCTGCCTACCGCTCTCTAGCCCTGGAGCTGAAAGTTCGTGCCCCCCACTCTTCAGTGAGCCCTCATGGAAAAGCAATCACTCTTGTCTCCTCAGTTTCCATCCTAACTCTGTTCACCCAGCCTATGACCGAGCGTTTTAATCTCAGGCACTCAGGCACTCGACTGAATTTCAAGACCAAATTTCATGGACTCCTGGAGCACACACCTGCACTGTTCCTCCCTGGGGAAGGCGGGAGTCTCACCAGGCTTCTGCCTTTTGCTGGGCCTCTGCCAGGAAAGCAGTCACGTGACCATGCAGCAGTTTGCATTTTATGGCAACACCAAGCAGAAATCCTGCACCTCGACTCATGGTTTTCAGCCAGCTTCCCTGCTCTGATGCCTAGAAATTCTGCCGCTCTCGGGCACCCCTGTTCTTGTGACACCGGGGATCCTGAGACCACACTGTCCCACCTGGGATTCCACCCTGCTTCGCCACCTAAGCACCTTTAAGCCAGGGATGTCCCCCTCCCCCACCCCAGCAGACTTCTAAAAGTTCCAACTTTGCACTCCCCTGGTTATATTACTTTGCGGTAGCCTCCGTAAGCTGGCTCCCTCCCCTTCACAGTATCCTCTGACATATCACCCCAGATTCAAGTCTCTGCACCTCCTACCTTCCAAAAAGTGATCACTTTTCTATTTGTAGAATGGCAGCATTTCTTTTCTCAAATCCAATTGATTTTGCAGGTGTTTAGAATGATTTGATAACTATCTAGCTGAATTCTAGGGACCAAACTTAGGGTTCCCTGCTCCTCTGCCATCTCAACTCCTCTCCATGATTTGCCTTTTTTAGTGCATCATATCAGAAGATAGCTAATGCTGATATGTCTTAATACTGGTGATATTAACCTTGATCACTTGGTTAAGGTGGTGTTTGCTAAGCTTCACTATAAAGTTACTATTTTCCTCTTTATAATTAATAAATATCTTGTAGGAAAGTACATTGAGACTATTTAAATATCCTATTTCTCATCATACTTTTGCCCACTAATTTTAGCATTCATCAATTGTTCTTGATAGTGACAGTTACTACTGTGGTGTTTACCTAATGTTGATTTTTTTCTTTCATTCCTTCTATATGTATTAACTGAAATTCTATAAGGAAGATATCTCATCTTACCCATTTATTTACTCATTTATTTATATCAGCATGGACTAATGGATGTTTATTTTATTCTGACTTATAACCTAATACTATCATTATGTTGTTCAAATTGTTTCAACTTTGGCCATTGAGAGCTTCTGTGTCATTTTGACAGATCCCCATTGTTTGACTACTTCCTTATTTTCTGGCACCACAAGTTGTTCAAGATTAATCTTGTTTTTCCTATCCCAGTACTGGAATCAACCATTTCTACATGGAGCCCTAGTTCATTTTATTGGAAAAATAGTATTTAGAAACAAAGACCTGGGCACTAGGTGTTCTTTCTATAACCTATGAGAGTATCAAATATTATAAAGATTGATAACAGCAAATGTTTCCAAGGGTATGGAAAATAGACACCCCATACACTTTGGATAAGAGTATAAATAAGTGTAACCTTTTGGGAGGACAATTTGGCCATCTCTATTAAAAATTTAATTGTGAAGATCTAAAAAACCTACTTCTAGAAATCCATTACACAGAAATATATATACGCTCAAAGATATATGCACAGAAATATTCATTGCAGCATTGTAATAGCAAAAACCTGGAAACAAAATTTCATCAATAGGGAACTGATTAAATAACTACATTGTGGTACAACTATATGATAAAGTATTATGTTGGCATTAAAAGGAATGAGACAGATCTATAGATATTGATATGGATCTTGTTTCATATTTCATTGAGAAAATAAAAGCAATCAGATGAGAACTTCCTCCTCTTTTTATAACCAAATCTACCATCTATTTAATTTGTGTCTACACTCTAGCTTTCTCCATATACTGTATAGAATAGTGGGTAAGGGTGGGATCTAATGCCATACTCCCAGTGTTCAAATCATGACTCTACCATTTACTAGTTGTGTGAACTTGACTAAGCTATTTAAACTGACTATGCTATAGTTTTTTTCATTTTTAAAATGAATGAGGGCAGTAAAAGTTCCTACTTCACAGTCTTGTTGCATTAAGTGAATATATATAAGGTATTTTAAGTAGTACCTGGTACATAGTAAGAGCTCAATAGATATTAGATTATCATTACAATGGATGAAATATCCTTGCTCCTATCAAAGGCCATCCCCTTCATTTGTGCTTTGGATTCCAGTCCCCTGATTTCTCAAGGACCTAACACATATAAGTGTACTCTCTTTCTGCATCACCAGTCTCACTTCTATCAGCATATAAGCATATTCTTGTACATCCTATTTATTTAAAAAAAAAACTTCCATGACTTCACATTCCCATCAAGCTATTGTTCCATTTTTCTATTCTTTACAGCAGAATTTCTTGAAGTTTTCTATAGTCATTGTATCCATATTTCCCATTTTCTCCTAAATCTGTTTCAATAAGGGACTGCTCTTGACAAGTTCTTTTGTAACACCCCCACCCCATCTTGCCAAATCAATGGTAATTTCTCTGTCCTCATTATATCTCAACTTCTCAGCTGCATGCAATGCAGTTTACCACTTTCTCTTTCTTGAAACATTATTGTCTTGGCTTCTGTAACACCACAATCCTGATTTTCTTCCTACTTCAGTAATAAATTCCCAGTTGTTTCATGCTCCTTCTCTGTTTGTCTAAATGTTATTGGGCCCCAGGGCTCCTTACCTAGCCTATTCTTTTCTGATTTTACTTTCTCCCTAACAGTTCTTATCTAGTTTCATGAATTTATATTACTACCTATAGGCTTATGACTACCAAATCTGCTTCCAGCTCAGATCTTTCTATTGAGCTTTAGATTCTTATACCAACTGACTTCCTGACAAGGCTGGTTGAATGTCTAAAGCGATCTCAAATGTCACATTTTCAAAATAGAAGACTTGAATATTTACCTCCCCAACCCATCATTTTTCTAGTCTCCCTCATTGGTAAAATGGCACTATCATCCAACTTCTAAGTATGTTCTTCATTCCTTTTGTCCTCTCACTTTCCACATATATCCATAAGCAATCCTGGAGATTACCTAGAGGTGATCTCCAAAAATATATCAGAAATCACCTATTTTTTCTTTATTTTAATTTTTTATTTAAATTCAATTTAGTTAACATATAGTGTGTTATTAGTTTCAGAGGTAGAATTTAGTGATTCATCAGTTGCATTTAACACACAGTGCTCATTCCATCAAGTGCCCTCCTTAATGCCCATCACCCAGTTACCCCATCCCCCCACCCACCTCTCTTCCAGCAACCCTCAGGTTGTTTCCTATAGTTAAGAGTCTCTTATGGTTTGCCTCCCTCTCTGTTTTTATCTTATTTTTCCTTCCCTTCCCCTATGTTCATCTGTTTTGTTTCTTAAATTCCACATATGAGTGAAATCGTATGGTATTTGTCTTTCTCTGACTTATTTCATTTACATAATACCCTCCAGTTCCATCCATGTTGTTGTAAATGGCAAGATTTCATTCTTTTTGATGGCTGAGTAATATTCCATTATATATATATATACCACTTCTTTATCCATTCATCTGTTGATGGACATGTGGGCTCTTTCCAAATTTTGGCTATTGTGGATATTGTCGCTATAAACATTGGGTACATGTGCCCCTTTTAATCAGTATTTTTGTGTCCTTTGGATAAATACCTAGTAGTGCAGTTGCTGGGTTGTAGAGTAGCTCTACTGTTAACTTTT